CGAGACAGTGTGTGACTGCAATAAAGAAGGCCAATGCTATGCTGGGGATTATTAGGAAGGGTATTGAAAACAGATCAGCCAATATCAGAATGCCCTTATATAAATCAATGGTGAGACCTCATTTGGAATACTGTGTGCAGTTCTTACTTTGTTGGTCTTAAAGGTGCCACTGGATTCATACTTTGTTTTGTTAACCACAGTTAGTCTTAAATACGGTTCTGCATTCTGTACAAACATGGACATCGTAGCTTACTCCTGGCTAGGGACATATGAACACCTGCCAGTTTGGCTCATGCTCTGTTCACTGATCACAAGCAGGGACGATTTTTCGAGGACTGGTTCAGTAAGTCATCAATCTGTTTGCCGGTATTCAACATGTTGCTTCACTGTATTTATTCCTAGCCATGCATTGCGACTGAGGGGTGACATGATTGAGGTTTATAAGATTATGCATGGGAAAGAGCAGGTAGAGAAAGAGGTACTTTTCTCCCTTTCTCACAATACAAGAACTCGTGGGCACTCCATGAAATTGCTGAGCGGTCGGGTTAGAACGGATAAAAGGAAGTACTTCTTCACCCAAAGAGTGATTAACACATGGAATTCACTGCCACAGGAAGTGGTGGCGGCTACAAGCATGGACGGCTTCAAAAGGGAATTAGATAAGCATATGGAGCAGAGGTCCATCAGTGGATATTAGCCACAAGGTACAGATAGGGGCTCTGGGGCAAGTGATGCTCTGTCTTCTTGGTGCTTGGGGGGGTCAACAGTGGGAGGGCTTCTAATGTCCTGGCCCCACTGCTGGACCTCCTGATGGCACTGGTATTTCTGGCCACTGTGTGACAGAATGTTGGACTGGATGGGCCTTTGGCCTGATCCAACATTGGCGTCTCTTATGTTCTTATGCTATTAGCCACCAGGTATAGATAGGAACTCTCCATCTGGGGCAAGGGTACTTGGGCGGGGGCAACAGTGGGAGGGCTTCTGGTGTCCTGGCCCCACTGCTGGGTCTCCTGACAGAGCGTTGGATGGGATGGGCCATTGGCCTGATCCAACATTGGCTTCTCTTATGTTCTTATGAACTGGATAAACATCTGGAGCAGAGGTCCATCAGTGGCGATTAGCCACAAGTTATAGAGAGGAGCTCTCGGTGTGGAGGCAAGGGATGCTCTGTATTCTTGGTGCTTCTGGGGGGGGCAACAGTGGGAGGGCTTCTGGTGTCCTGGCCCCACTGCTGGACCTCCTGATGGCACTGGTATTTCTGGCCACTGTGTGACAGAATGTTGGACTGGATGGGCCTTTGGCCTGATCCAACATTGGCGTCTCTGATGTTCTTATGCTATTAGCCACCAGGGATAGATAGGAACTCTCCATCTGGGGCAAGGGTACTTGGGCGGGGGCAACAGTGGGAGGGCTTCTGGTGTCCTGGCCCCACTGCTGGGTCTCCTGACAGAGCGTTGGATGGGATGGGCCATTGGCCTGATCCAACATTGGCTTCTCTTATGTTCTTATGAACTGGATAAACATCTGGAGCAGAGGTCCATCAGTGGCGATTAGCCACAAGTTATAGAGAGGAGCTCTCGGTGTGGAGGCAAGGGATGCTCTGTATTCTTGGTGCTTCTGGGGGGGGCAACAGTGGGAGGGCTTCTAGTGTCCTGGCCACACTGGTGGAACTCCTGGTGGCACCTGGTGTTTCTGGCCACTGTGTGACACAGAGTGTTGGACTGGAGGGGTCATTTGGCCTGATCCAACATTGGCTCCTCTTATGTTCTTATGTAACCTTCAGGTGGGGCCTGGCGGTCTCCTACTATTACTTCTGACTTCCAGGCGACCAAAATCAGTTCCCCTGCAGAAAACAGCTGCTTTGGATGGTGGGCACTGGTACCCTGCTGAGGTCCCTCCCCGGGTCTACGCCCCAGATCTCCAGGGGCTTCCCAGCCCAGACCTGCCCCCCCCCAGTCCCAGGCTCAATGCTCACCTTCATCCGGTCCCGCAGTCCAATCCAGATGGACCCCACGTTGGGATGATTGTTCATAATAAACTTGGATACCAGCTCTGCCTCTTGATCCGAGAGAATGGATACCAGGTGACCGGAATTGCCGTAGTTCTGACAATCCATCTGAAGCAGGCCAAAGAAAGGTTCTTATTCCTCCTCGTGAGGGCCAAGGATAAAAGGAAAGGGAACACGTTGGCGGATCTGCCCCCATATATATATTTTTTATTTATACCGCACCGTGGGTGATTTCCTGCGGGAGCGCACAGGAGCGGAGCTCCGGCAGTAAGGAGCCCAGGGGGTGAGCACATTCAACAAGCCCCGCCCCCTGCTCCTAGCAGCCCTCAGTCAGGTCACGAGGAGCAAGAAGCAGCCAGGTAAGTTGCAGAGTCGCCCCCCGCCTGACTTCAGGTACAAGCTCTCCCTCCTCAGCCCTCAGTCAGAGGAAGAAGCAGCCAGGTAAGCTGCAGAGCTCCTGCCCGGCCCCCCAGTCCAAAACAGCCCAGTGGCACCTTTAAGACCAAGTTTTATTCAGGTACAAGCTCTCCCTCCTCTGCAAGGGCAGATCTGCACATTCCACCTCCCTCAATAGCTAGCAATCCAAAACAGTCCAGTGGAGCCTGAGCGGTGGGTGTTGCCTTCTGACACACTTCCGGTGATGTCAGGGGGTTTGGCATATGCAAATAAGTTTATTTATTTTTCACACTCTTACCCCACCCTCGTGTCAAGACGGCTCAGGGCAGCTTACAATAATTAATTAAAGCTATGCTAATGAGTTATGCTAATGAGCTCTTGCGCCTCTTTTTCTACGAAATGACCCCTGTACCCCACCCTCCCCACCAAAGCAGGCTTGGGGCGGCTTACGAAAAATAGAACATGAGAATAATTAGAGCCTCAATAAAACCATCTAAAACTGTCCAGTATCGTAATCCTATAAAGTACTAGCTTGTTGTAAACTAAGGTCGCGGTGACAGGTGTCTTTGGATCCAACCCAGGCAATGATCAGAGAGCGACATCTGGGAGAGGTGCCACTTCCGTGATCAGCCCATTTAGCCCCGCCAAGGAACCATACTTAAAAGATACCGGTGAAAATCCGGGGCAAATGCTTGCCGACGGGCCAAAGGCGGACTTTCCCCTGTCTGATTGTTCCAGTGCGCAATCATCCCATTGGGATGACTCCAGACTATCCCGAACGACCGCCATTTTAAAAGGTTCTTAGCGATATGCGCATAAACGCATAAATGCATGACAGCCACAGAGCTCCGCTCAAACATTCCAGACTTCATGTTTCTGAATGGCCAAAAGTCCGGTGGAAGAGCTCCATCTTATAGGCCCCGCAGGACTGTAGAAGGTCCCAAAGGGCCCAGATCTCTTCTGGGTGCTCATTCCACCAGTATGGAGCCGCCACCAAGAAGGCCCCGGCCCTGGTTGTTGCCAGTCTGACGTCTTTGAGGGCCGGGAGGGTCAGTCGATGTTGAGACCCTGAGCGCAGTGCTCGTTGGGGTAAATATCTGAAGGTGCATGGGTGCAGAAAGGATGGTCTGATCTGTCAGGGTGGGCAACTTGGGGAGGGGCTGTGGCTCACTGGAAGAGCCTCTGCTTTGCATGCCGACAATCCCACGGTCAATCCCCAGCATCTCCAAACAAAAGGACCAGGTAGCTGGTGATGTGAAAGTCCCTCTCCTGAGACCCTGAGAGCTGCTGCCGGTCTGAGCAGACAACACAGCCCTTGACGGACTGAAGGTCTAACTCAAGTATGAGGCATCTCCAGTTAAGGACCAGGATACCCCACACTAGTCAAATTCTGGTTAGCACTTGGCTGGAAGATCACCAAGGAAGTCCAGGGTTGCTATGCAGAGGCAGGCAATGGCCGACCACCTCTGTGTATCTCTTTTCTTGAAAACCCCACGAGGGGTCACCCCAAAGCTGCGGTCACACTCACTAAATAATCCACTTTCAATGCACTTTCAAACTGGATTTTTCTCAGTTCACACAGTAAAATCCAGTTGAAAAGCAGGGGTCATTTTCTGCGGGAGTGCACAGGAGCGGAGCTCCGGCAGTAAGGAGCCCAGGGGGTGGGCACATGCAACAAGCCCCGCCCCCTGCTCCCAGGAGTCCTCAGTCAGGCCACGAGGAGCAAGAAGCAGCCAGGTAAATTGCAGAGCCCCCCCCCGGCCCACCTGTGAGGGCAGATCTGCACGTCCCCCCCCCCATAGCTAACAATCTAAAACAGTCCAGTGGCACCTTTAAGACCAAGTTTTATTCAGGTACAAGCTCTCCCTCCTCTGCAAGGACAGAGCTGCACATTCATCCCCCCCCCCAATAGGTAGCAATCCAAAACAGTCCAGTGGAGCCTGAGCGGTGGGTGGTGTGGCATAGGCAAATGAGTTATGCTAAGTTATGCTAATGAGCTCCTGCACCTCTTTTTCTATGAAATGGCCCCTGTTGAAAAGTACACTGAAAGTAGATTGAAAGCGGATTATTTAGTGTGTTGGACCGCAGCCCAAGTCAGCTATGAGCTGACGACCCTTTCCACACACCCCCCACACGCTCAGTGAAAGGGTGCCAGACCCCAAAGCATCTTTACCTCAGCCTGTATCCAGTCTTGTTTGCTGACGAAGATCCCGTAGCAGTACCTCTGGTACTTCCTCCATCCATTGGGGCAACCCGAAGCATCACAGCCTGCCCAGGAAGCAGGAAAGGGCATTCTGTTAGTCAATGTTGGCATTCACACATGAGTGAAGAAAGGTTAAGGCTTGCAGAGGAGAGCGACGAGGGGCCTGGAGACCGAGCCCTACGAGGAAAGGCTGAGGGACTTGAGGATGTTCAGTCTGGAGAAAGGGGGGCTGAGGGGGGACAGGGCGGCTCTCTTGAAGTTAGGGCAGCCAGGTCCCCCGGGGCGGGGACAGGGGTTTGTCCGCTCTAGAGGCCCCCAACCCCCCCCCAGCCCAGATCTGGGGGCCAGGGGGAACCCTGCCCCCAAAGTGCTGGAATCGGACTGCTGTGCCTGGCGCGATAATATCACCTGGCATTCACACATGAGTGAAGAAAGGTTAAGGCTTGCAGAGGAGAGCGATGAGGATGATCGGGGGCCTGGAGACCGAGCCCTACGAGGAAAGGCTGAGGGACTTGAGGATGTTCAGTCTGGAGAAAGGGAGGCTGAGGGGGGACAGGGCAGCTCTCTTGAAGTTAGGGCAGCCAGGTCCCCCGGGGCGGGGACAGGGGTTTGTCCGCTCTAGAGGCCCCCAACCCCCCCCCAGCCCAGATCTGGGGGCCAGGGGGAACCCTGCCCCCAAAGTGCTGGAATCGGACTGCCGTGCCTGGCGCGATAATATCACCTGGCATTCACACATGAGTGAAGAAAGGTTAAGGCTTGCAGAGGAGAGCGATGAGGATGATCGGGGGCCTGGAGACCGAGCCCTACGAGGAAAGGCTGAGGGACTTGAGGATGTTCAGTCTGGAGAAAGAGAGGCTGAGGGGGGACAGGGCAGCTCTCTTGAAGTTAGGACTGCTGGGTCCCCCGGGGAGGACAGGGGTTTGCCCGCTCTAGGGGCCCCCGACCTCCCCATCCTGGATCCGCCCGCCGGGGGGAACCCTGCCCCCAAAGTGCCATGACCCTTTCATACGGTTCCTCATGTTGTGGTGACCCCCAACCATAAAATTATTTTCGTTGCTACTTCATAACTGTAATTTTGCTACTGTTATGAAACGTAATGTAAATATCTGATATGCAGGAAGTGTCTCGGTTCCTAAGACCATCGAAAATTTGTGTTTTCCGATGGTCTTAGGCGACCCCTGTGAAATGGTCGTTCGACCCCCAAAGGGGTCGCGACCCCACTTGAAGTATCTGAAGGGTTGTCCCTTAGAGGAGGGCAGGGAGCTGTTCCTGTTGGCAGCAGAGGAGAGGACTCGCAAGAAGGGGTTTAAATGAAGGGCGGGAAGGTACCAGCTGGATATTAGGGGAAACACTTTTTTAGAGTCAGAGTTGTGCCACAGTGGAATCAGCTGCCCGGGGAGGTGTTCAGCTCCCCCTCCCTGGCAGTCCTTAAGCAGCAGCTGGACCAACACTTGTGAGGGATGCTCTAGGCTGATCCTGCACTGAGCAGGGGGCTGGACTAGATGGCCTTTACGGACCCTTCCAACTCTGATTCTGTGATCCTATGACTCTTGTAAGGACCACACCAAAAGTGGATGAAGTGTTTTGCATGGAACTCCGCAAGGCTCACTTTCCTTGTGGGCCTAGTCCAGGAGTCCATGACATTTTTGACCCTTGAGGGTGCCTTTGGGATTCTGACACAGGGCGGTGGGTGCAGCCCCAAAACGGCTGCCACAGGAAACAGAGTCAGCCACAAAATGGCTGCAGCCACATAGAATCATAGAATGTTAGAGTTGGAACTCGACCCTGCCGGTCATCTAGTCCAACCCCCTGCACTCTGCAGGAGAACAGCCGAAAGATAGCCCTACATACCTACAACATACCCGAAAGATGGTCATCCAGCCTCCGCTTGAAAACATCCAGCGAAGGAGCACCCACCACCTCCCAAGGCAGACTGTTCCACTGCTCAACCACCCTTACAATTAGGAAGTTTCTCCTGATATTTAGCCGGTAACAACCCCCTTGTCATTTCCACCCATTAGATCTAGTCTTGCAATCCGGAGCAAGAGAGAATAGATCCGCTCCATCTTCTACATGACAGCCCTTCAGATACTTGAAGACAGCAATCGTGTCCCCTCTAAGCCTTCTCTTTCCCAGGCTAAACAGACCCAACTCTCTCAGCCTTTCCTCGTAAGACTTGGATTCCAACCCTCTCACCATCTTGGTTGCCCTCTTCTGGACACGCTTGAGCTTGTCAACATCCTTCCTAAAATGTGGTGCCCAAAACTGGACACAGGACTCCAGGTGAGGCCTGACCATCGCAGGCTAGAGCAGAATCACCACCTCCCGTGATCTGGACACGAGGCTTCTGTTAATGCATCCTAAGACTGCATTAGCCACAGCTTACCTTCATTCACACTGTGAACATCTTTCTGCTGTGCTGGCCGCTGCTCTCAGAGTAACATTTCTGAAAATCTTCACATCCAATCCCACCTCCGGTGGCCAGTCGGGAGTCTTGCGGGGCAGAAGCCCCACCTGGCTCCACTGGCATTCTGTGAACTCTTGGTGGGAAGCGAAGGATGCCAGCCTCCAGGTGGGACCTGTGGATCCCCTGGAATTATAGCTCATCTCCAGACTACAGAGATCAGTTCCCCTGCAGAAAATGGGTGCTTTGGAGGGTGGACTGTATGGCATTGTGCCCCACTGAAGTCCCTGTCCTCCCCAGGCTCCATCCCCAAATCTTCAGGAGCTTCCCAACCTGGATCTGGCAACCAATGCTCCCTCTAAGCTATGGAGTCTTGTCAGCAAAAATTCTACCTTGTGGTAAAGGTCAAGGTTTCCTTTGCTCGAAAGCCAGTCAAATCCGACTCTAGGGGGTGGTGCTCATCTCCGTTTCCAGGCTGAAGAGCCAGCACTGTCCGAAGACGTTTCTGTGGTCATGTGGCTGGCATGACTAGACGCCGAGGTGCATGGAACGCTGTTAACTTCCCACCGAAGCGGTACCTATTTATCGACTTGCAATTTCTCGCTTTCGAACTGCTAGGTTGGCAGGAGCTGGGGCCAGAGATGGGAGCTCACTCCGTCAGGCGGCACACTCGGGTCTTGAACTGCCGAGCTACCGACCTTCTGGTCTGCAACTCAGCGTCTTCACCTCTGAGCCACCACAGACTCCCTCTACTTTGTGAACTTCTGCCATTAAAGTTGTGAGTGAGCGATTTGGCAACTGCGTAAACTATTCTGCTCTGGAGCCCCATCCTTCCTGAGCGAAGGCAAAAATGTGTGAGCCAGAGGCTAAAAAACTGTGAGCTGGCTCACACTAAACTCAGCTTAGAGGGAACACTGACAGTGACTTTCCCCAGTGAAATATAAAACTGTGAGTCTATGCGAGTTCCAAGGTTCAAGCTGTGATACTTCTCAGCTAGCTCTGAGCCCCCCAGGGCTGACCTCTGAGGATACCGGCTGGGACTCACCTTGCATCAGGGACTGGCTGGCCAGGAGGCCAAGGAGGGTGAGGTAGGGACCTCTCCCCGCCTGCATCTGTGAAGAGAGAGCAGAAGAAGAAGGGCAAGGGTTTCCATCCTCCACGTGGCTCCAGCCGCAAATGGACCACAGTGACTCAAGTCCAGGGATCATTTCGTAGAAAAAGAGGTGTGGGAGCTCATTAGCATAACTCATTAGCATAACTTATCTGCATATGCCACACCCCTGACATCACCAGAGGTGTGTCAGAAGGCAACACCCACCGCTCAGGCTCCACTGGGCTGTTTCTGGTTGCTAGCTATGGGGGGGGGGGACGTGCAGATCTGTCCTCACAGAGGAGGGAGAGCTTGTACCTGAACAAAACTTGGTCTTAAAGGTGCCACTGGACTGTGTTGGGTGGGGAGCGAGTGGGGGGGGGGGACGTGCAGATCTGCCCTCACAGAGGAGGGAGAGCTTGTACCTGAACTTACCTGGCTGCTTCTTGCTCCTCGTGGCCCAACTGAGGGCTGCTGGGAGCAGGGAGCGGGGCTTGTTGCATGTGCCCACCCCCTGGGCTCCTTACTGCCGGAGCTCCGCTCCTGTATGCTCCTGCAGGAGATGACCCCTGGACTCAACCAAGGTTGTACTCCACCAATATTCACTGTGAAAAATTGATTCAAGTCCAATTACAGTCCACAAATTTGCTGCTGCTTCTTTTTGTTTCTTTATTTTACGTCATGCTGCCGCTGCTTCCAACCATTGTCCTGCGACTACAGATTTCCCAGGTAAACACTCTGTTTCCCTCAGGTCGCCAGCAGATGCCAAGAAAATACAAGATTAATTCTAAGTAGGAGACACAGAGCATGGGCTCCAAGTATAAAGCGACCTGACGAAGCATTGAAGGAAACAGATTGTTTACTCGGGAAATCTGTAGTCGCATGACAATGGTTGGAAGCAGCGGCAGCAGCACTGCATGACATAAAATAAAGAAACAAAAAAGAAGAAGAAGAAGCAAATTTGTGGACTGTAATTGGACCTTCACCTGGAGAAAATGGCTGCTTTGAAAATGGACTCTATAGCATTAGAACTCTCTGAAGCCCCTCCCTTCCCTAAACCCCACCCTCCTCAGGCTCCACCATCAACATCTCCAGGTATTTCCCAATGCAGAGCTGGAAGCTTGCAGTGGTACCTGTTTGCTTGGTTTTAAACTGGAAAGGAGCCCTCAAGTTCCTTGTTTCAACCCATAAGAACATAAAAAGAGCTCTGCTGAATCAGAGGATCAGACCAGTGAAGGTCCTTCTACTCCAGCCTCCTGTCTCAAACAGTGGCCAACCAGTTCCTCTGGAGGGCCAACAAAATAGGAACATCAGAAGAGCCCTGATGGATCAGGCCAGTGAGGGTCCATCTAGTCCACCATCTGGTCTCATACAGAGGCCAACCAGTTCCTCTGGAGGGCCAACAACAGGGCAGAAAGGCCGAGGCCTTCAGAAGAACATCAGAAGAGCCCTGCTGGATCAGACCAGTGAAGGTCCTTCTACTCCAGCCTCCTGTCTCAAACAGTGGCCAACCAGTTCCTCTGGAGGGCCCACAACAGGGCAGAGAGGCTGAGGCCTTCATGAGGACATCAGAAGAGCCCTGCTGGATTAGGCCAGTGAGGGTCCATCTAGTCCACCATCTTGTCTCAAACAGTGGCCAACCAGTTCCTCTGGAGGGCCAACAACAGGGCAGAGAGGCTGAGGCCTTCATGAGGACATCAGAAGAGCCCTGCTGGATTAGGCCAGTGAGGGTCCATCTAGTCCACCATCTTGTCTCATACAGAGGCCAACCAGTTCCTCTGGAGGGCCAACAACAGGGCAGAGAGGCCGAGGCCTTCATAAGAACATGAGAAGAGCCCTGCTGGATCAGACCAGTGAGGGTCCATCTAGTCCAGCATCCTGCCTCACCCAGGGGCCATCCAATTCCTCTGGATGGCAAACAGCAGGCCATAGAGGCCAAGGCCTTCACAACAACACCAGAAGAGCCCTGCTGGATCAGACCAGTGAGGGTCCATCTCGTCCAGCATCCTGCCTCACACAGCAGCCGACCTATTCCTCTGGACAGTCAACAACAGGGCAGAGAGGCCGAGGCCCTCCCCTGATGTTGCCTCCTGGCTTTGGGATTCCTAGGGTTAGTGCCCCTGAATGTGGAGGTTCCCCTCAGCCACCATGGCTTGGATAGACTTCTCCTCCATGAATCTATCTATAACAACATAACCCAATGCGGATGTGACTCTGGGCATACCTCTGTGGAGAATTTTAAAAGTCTTCGTGCACAATCTTTAACACCTAAAAAGTTTCTCTCCACAGGCAAAGGTGCTCCTCTTTACCTACAGGGACGAAAAGGGACCAATAAGGAATTGTTACACCATGTAATAAATACTTTCTTCTGTTTTTAAGTTGTTATACTCAACCTTCTGACTAACCAACTGGCCCAAGGTCACCCAGCAAGCTTCCATGGCAGAGGGAAGATTCGAACCTGGGTCCCCCCGTTGGGTGTAGTGGTTAAGTGCGCGGACTTTGATCTGGGAGAACTGAGTTTGATTCCCCATGCCTCCCCCACATGCAGCCGCTGGTGTGACCTTGGGTCAGTCACTAGTTTCTCTCAGAGCTGTTCTCTCAAGAGCAGTCCTAGAAAGGGCTCTCTCAGCTCCTCCTACCTCACAGGGTGTCTGTTGTGGGGAGGGGAAGGGAAAGGAGTTTGTAAGCCCCTCTGAGACTCTGAGTGAAGGGTGGAGTAAATTCAATCTCTTCTTCTTCTTCTTCTTCTTCTTCTCCTTCTTCTTCTCCTTCTTCTTCTTCTTCTTCTCCTTCTCCTTCTCCTTCTTCTTCTTCTTCTTCTTCTTCTTCTTCTTCTTCTTCTTCTTCTTCTTCTTCTTCTTCACGCAGATCCTACTCCAGCACTCAGGTCAGTACACATAACCTTTCTGATCCTAATGAACTCACCAGTGCCCTCCCCTTGGGGTGTGGGGGGGGGAGGTATTTGTGAATTTCCTGCGGAGTGCAAGGGGTTGGACTAGATGACCCTGGAGGAGTCTTCCAACTCTATGATTCTGTGAATCTATGATTCTGTGATTCTAACACATTAAAAATAAAGCCTAGTTTCAGGATCCCCCACCTGGCACCCACCAACATCTTTCCTGGCGCCCACCAAGTATTTTTAGACAGTGGGCAGGTTCAGGTGGGGCTTTTGCCCAGCAAGGCTTCTGATTGGCCCTTGGAGATTTGATGGGCTGTGCAGATTTTTATCAGTCTTTCTTTGGCAGCAGCGGCCACCACAGCACAAGGATCTTCCCAGTGTGACCGAAGGTAAACGGCGGCAGCCATTTTGTGGCTGGCTTTGTCGCCTGCAGCAGCCATTTGGCGGCAGCCATTTGGTGGGTGGGCCCCCCACCACCACTGTGTCACAATTCCTAAAGGTGCCCTAGGCTGAAAAAGGTTGGGGGCCCCTGACATATTTCTCCTCCTCCTCTTACCCCTATTTTTTAATCTTAAAATATGGGGGGGTTGCAAGCACAGAATAACATTTTCCAGAACTTATTCAACCAGTCTCTTATAGTAAGATGTATTTGCCCCCCATATGTGTGCAGTAAGAACACCAAGAAGAGCCCTGCTGGATCAGACCAATGAGGGTCCATCTAGTCCAGCCTTTCGTCTCACACAGGGGCCAACCACTTCCTCTGGATGGCCAACAACAGGGCACAGAGTCCGAGGCCTTCCCCTGATAAGAAGAGCCCTGCTGGGTCAGACCAGTGAGGGTCCACCTAGTCCAGCCTCCCGTCTCACACAGGGGCCAACCAGTTCCTCTGGAGGGCCAACAACAGGGCAGAGAGGCCGAGGCCTTCCCCTGATAAGAAGAGCCCTGCTGGATCAGACCAATGAGGGTCCATCTATTCCAGCATCCCGTCTCACACAGGGGCCAGCCAGTTCCTCTGGAGGGCCAACTGCAGGGCAGTTGTTGCCTCCTGGCTGTGGGATCCAGAGGCTGACTGTCTCTGAATGTGGAGATTAGGGTAGCCAGCTCTAAATTGGGAAATACCTGGGGATTTTGGGAATTGGAACCTGGAGGGAGTGGGGTTTGGGGAGGGGAGAGACTACAATGGGGTGTAATGCCACAGAGTCATAAGAACCTAAGAACATAAGAGATGCCAATTTTGGATCAGGCCAAAGGCCCATCCAGTCCAACACTCTGTGTCACACAGTGGCCAAAAATACCAGGTGCCATCAGGAGGTCCAGCATTGGGGCCAGGATACCAGAAGCCCTCCCACTGTTGACCCCCCCCCAAGCACCAAGAAGACAGAGCAGCCCTTGCCCCAGAGCCCATATCTATACCTTGTGGCTAATAGCCACTGATCTCCACCTTCCATAGCGCCCATTTCCTCCAGGTGATCTCTGTTGCCTGGAGATGAGTTGTAATCCCAGGGGATCTCCAGCCACCGCCTGGAGACTGGCAACCCTAGTGTCGGCTCTGTTCCGTCACCATGGCTCGTAGCCCCGATAGACCTACTCTCTGTGAATCTATCTTTAAAGCTCTCTGTGCCGACGGCCATCACAACATCTTCTGGCAACGAATTCCACATCGTTAATCGCTCACTGTGTAAAGCAGTATTTCTCTCATGTCCCCTCTTAGTTGCCTATTTCCTCAACTGAAAAGTTCCATCTGTTCAGCCTTTCCCATTATAACTATTCTCGCTCCAATTAGCCAATGAGCCACCAATCCCCAATCAGCCAAGGCTACTGCTTAAAAATAACCCTAACCCTCTACAAGACATATTAAGACCTGTGCCCCCAATTCCCAAAGCAACTTCCAAAATACTAATCTCAGGACATCCCCCATAGCCATCCTCGAATTGCCACATTTCTGGTGTACGCTCCCTCTAAGTTGAGTGAGTGTGAGCTAGCTCACTGTTTTTGAGCCTCCAGCTCACACATTTTCGTCTTAGCTCAGGGAGGATGGCTCCAGAGCAAATTAATCTATGCAGCAGCCAAATGGCTCGCTCACAACTGTAATGTCACTCACAAAGTAGAATTTTTTGCTCACAAGACTCCACAGCTTAGAGGGAGCATTGCTTGTCATTATCACCTTTGTATATTCCACTGAAACCTGCCAGACCAAAAAACCCACAGCCAGGAAACCCTTAATAGCATCTCTTCCAGAGAGAGGAATCCATTCCCTTCTAAAACTGCTGTGAACAAAACAAAGCAGATGAGCAGCTCTCAAATAACCTGCGGAGCAAAAGAGTACAAACGGGTTACTCACGTCTCCGTAGCTTGTCTGAGGGGATGGTAATTGTACACCGGAAGCTTTCCATTCCGCAAGTATTTATAAACTGCCGAGTGGGGAGCGATTGGTGTGCATGTGATGCAAGTAATCTATGAGAGACCTCCCAGTTGATACAAGATCAGAGTGATAGAAACAACCAGGGGAACATTTTGTATATAAAGCAATTGATACGATATTGAAATTTTTTACAAAAAACCTTGGAAAATAAAAGAGACGACACTCACTAAATGCAAAATGATGAATAAGAGAATTTACTTCTGAGGAAGTTTAGGAGCGAAACGAAGACTCAAGCCGGAAGCTTCATTAATATATTGATGTATTGTGATTCTCTTCGCGTATCTGTTTATAATATTGTGATCTGTTTATAATATTGAGATTCTTATGTATGAATTAATAGGTGGCATTTTATAAATTTATGAATTAAGCACTTTAAAAACCAATTCACACTTTGTATAAAATTTCAATATAGTTTACTGCATTATATACAAAATATTTCCCTGGTTGTTTCTGTAACTCTGTGCATGTGATGCAACCATCAGTCAAAGGTTCAGTGGAAAGGAGGGCCAATATTAAAACCTATTCATAAAAAGAAGTACATGTATTTATTAATAATATCAAGTTAAAACAATAATATCAAGTTAAAAAGGAGTGGACCAAGTACTGATCCCTGCGGTACCCCACTGCTTACCACCCTCCACTGAGAAGATATATGGTTGCCAACTCCAGACTGGGAAATTCCTGGGGAGGGAGTCTGGGGAGGGTGCCATTGGGAGAGGGGTAGACTCTCGGGAGGGACAATACCGCCGAGTCCGCCCTCCAGAGCAGCCATTTTCTCTAGGGGAACTGATCTCCATAATCTGGAGATCAGTTGCAATTCTGGGAGACCTCCAGGTGCAACCTGGAAGCTGGGACCCCTATATCAGTTCCCTGATTCCCCCAAAATGAAACAAAATGAAAGATATGTAATCTTTCCTTAAAATCTGCCTCCATTCCTGAAGATTGGAAGGTAGCTAATGTCACTCCCATCTTTAAAAAGGGTTCCAGAGGAGATACAGGAAATTACAGGCCAGTCTTTCTGACGTTGATACCGGGTAAATTGGTGGAAACCATTATTAAGGAAAGAATTAGTAGGCACATAGATGAACAAAACCTATTGAGGCAGACTCAGCACGGTTTCTGAAAGGGAAGATCTTGTCTCACTAACCTGTTAGTGTTCTTTGAGGGGGTGAACAAACATGTGGACAAGGGGGATCCAATAGATATTGTTTACCTTGACTTCCAGAAAGCTTTTGATAAAGTTCCTCATCAAAGGCTCCTAAATAAGCTCAAAAATCATGGGATAAAAGGACAAGTCCTTTTATGGATCAAAAACTGGCTAATTCATAGAAAACAGAGAGTGAGTATAAATGGGCAGTTCTCTCAGTGGAGGGGGGTAAGCAGTGGGGTACCGCAGGGATCAGTACTTGGTCCACTGCTTTTTAACTTGTGCATTAATGATTTGGAGTTGGGAGTAAGCAGTGAAGTGGCTAAATTTGCGGATGATACGAAGTTGTTCAGGGTGGTGAAAACCAGTGAGGATTGTGAGGCACTCCAAAGGGATCTGTCAAGGATGGGCAAGTGGGCATCAACATGGCAAATGGGGTTCAATGTGGCCAAGTGCAAGGTGATGCACATTGGAGCCAAAAATCAGTTAAAAAATATAACAATCCAAATGAGCACAACATAAGCTAAGAATTCAGCAACACAGGGTAATTGCCGAGAACTTATCAGACAACAGAATTTTAAGATCATTGTCAGTCGAATTCCTTGTGGAAGGTAAGTGGGGACTTAATGTCGAGACAGTGTGTGACTGCAATAAAGAAGGCCAATGCTATGCTGGGGATTATTAGGAAGGGTATTGAAAACAGATCAGCCAATATCATAATGCCCCTATATAAATCAATGGTGAGACCTCATTTGGAATACTGTGTGCAGTTCTGGTCACCACACCTTAGAAAGGATATTATAGCTTTGGGAAAAGTGCAGAAAAGGGCAACTCGAATGATAAAGGGGTTGGAACACTTTCCCTATGAGGAACGGTTAAGGCGCTTAGGGCTCTTTAGCTTGGAGAAACGACGACTGAGGGGTGACATGATTGAGGTTTATAAGATTATGCATGGGAAAGAGCAGGTAGAGAAAGAGGTACTTTTCTCCCTTTCTCACAATACAAGAACCCGTGGGCACTCCATGAAATTGCTGAGCGGTCGGGTTAGAACGGATCAAAGGAAGTACCTGCTTCACCCAAAGAGTGGTTAACACATGGAATTCACTGCTACAGGAAGTGGTGGCGGCTACAAGCATGGACGGCTTCAAAAGGGAATTAGATAAGCATATGGAGCAGAGGTCCATCAGTGGCTATTAGCCACAAGGTATAGATAGGGACTCTGGGGCAAGGGATGCTCTGTATTCTTGGTGCTTGGGGGGGGGTCAACAGTTCGGAGGGCTTCTAGTGTACTGGCCCCACTGGTGGACCTCCTGAAGGCACCTGGTATTTCTGGCCACTGTGTGACACAGAGTGTTGGACTGGATGAGCCTTTGGCCTGATCCAACATTGGCGTCTCTTATGTTCTTATGTTCTTATGTTCCCTGTTCAAGGATAATATAATCCAGTTGTTGAGAAGTTGGCAGGAAGCATTGGGAGAAGCCCTTTAGCTTCATGCCCTTCTTGTGGACCAGTCCCGAAGCCAGGATTTTGTGGCTTGTGGGGCAAATTTTTTTCTGGTGAGGCTGAAGTTCTCAGTGCAGAAAGGAAAGCCAGAATTCTGAGGACGGTGACTCAGCGACTCTTCCCTCTCTCTGAGTCCTCTCCAGCTGTCTGTCCTACATAGGCGTTCTTAACCATTTAGCCAAAAGAAAGCTGTTACCACGACAGATCTCTAAATTGCACACTGTCGACCACTTTAGAGGACAGTTCTCAGCTGCTGCAAGTTAATCACTTCTGCCAGCCAAAGCAACAGTTCTGAGATCGAGCCGGCAGGTGAGGCTGATGACTTCTGTAGTCCAGAAACCTAACACTTAGGCAGAAAAACTCTCTTAAAGGAGACCAGTCTCTTGACACAGAGTTAGAAGGGATCCTAGAGGTCACCTACTCCAACCCTCTTGCTCGGTGTGGGAATTAGTCAACGACAGCACTCCACTCTGCTTAAAGGAGCACACACCTTTAAAATAATGTTTTTAAATGATTGGAAAAAGCATTTACAGAAGAAAGACTGGCCATTTCAGTCAGAACCAGCCATGCCATTGTAATGTTCCTCTGTTATTTCTACCCAGTGAAAAGAAAGCTAATGTGCAGACCTTGAAACCTCAAAGAATGCAGGGGACAGGCGGGGGTTCCACAGACACAAATATTCCACACAAATACTCCAATGTGCAATCTTAAATTTCCCTGGGAAGCCTTCCAGTTAAAAAGAAAATCCATACCTTTCCAACGTGGCACCACTCTACACCCAATGAACTATTTCCTAATCTGTCACCCGTTCACAATTCAAGACGGTTTCTTCTTTTTTTGCCCAGAACCTGCCAACTGCTTAATCTGTTTCTAAACTGATTCCCCCCCACAAGATGCTTCCAGAATATTTCCCATCTAGATCTCTTCTTGTATTTCGGATTTCTGAACGACCAGGTCTTCCTCCCGACGTGGAGTTGATGCATTTAGAATTCTCCCCATATACATTCCTATGCATCCCCCCTCCTCCCCATGAAACTAATGTGTACTTAAACGTGGATGACATTTTGCAAAACGAACGACCCAACTTTCCGCTTCCTCCTCCTACGCTTCATAGGATTTGCTGTGTGCTTCCTCACCATTTGTGTTCCCGCGTCTTCCTTTTTCGCTGTTGCAACAAGTTCCTTCAAAGCCCAGAAACAAACAACAGACGCCAGTGAGAATCCTAAATCAGCACTGCCCAAAGAGATACAATAGCATTCCAGATGTAGGGAATGAGAAACCTGGGTAAGGCGCCCTCAAACTACCGTATTTTTCGGACCATAAGACGTACCTGACCTTAAGACGCACCTAGTTTTTAAAGGAGGAAAACAGGGGGGAAAATATTCTGCCACCTTCGGTCCATAAGACGCACTCACTTTTCCTCCCACTTTTTTTGGAAGAAAAAGTGCGTCTTATGGTCCAAAAAATACGGTATATTATGCATTTTGTGCCATGACGGGCTCTCATTCAGTTTATGGCTTCTTTAATCCTTAACAGCATTAATAGCACGCATCCTGTGCTCTTCCAGAAATGTTATTTCTGCAGGAAATCTCTCCATGTTCCAGAAGGCATAAGCATGCTTTAAGGGGGTTTTTTATTAGGCAACTAACTTGGCTGGTTTAGCTTCCTTGGTCATTTGTCACGCTGATGGCTTCTATCCAGTTTATTAGCCATTAAATCTGCTAGGATATTAAGCATTATCTTCCCATCTTGTGCTTGTTGTTCAGAATTTGTTCAGGCAATTTATCTGTGTTCCAGAAGGATTAGGATACTAACTGGTAAAGTAACTGGTGCGTGTGGTGGAAACATACAGGAATATATTTACTTGGATTTAAAGTTGTTGAAAACCCTAGAATCTTCTCCACTGTCACCACAATATCATTTCCCCCACATTTGTCATGTGGCTGTTTGTGTGTGTGTGTGTGTATGTGTGTGTGTGTAAGAGAGAGAGAGAGAGTAAAGTGCTGTCTGCCAAGTCATCAGAAGAGCCCTGCTGGATCAGACCAGTGAGGGTCCATCTTGTACAGCACCCCATCTCACACAGAGGCCAACCAGTTCCCCTGGAGGGCCAATGACAGGGCAGAGAGGCTGAGGCCTTCATAAGAACCTCAGAAGAGCCCTGCTGGATCCGACCAGTGAGGGTCCATCCAGTCCAGCTTCCTGTCTCACACAGGGGCCAACCCGTTCCTTTGGAGGGCCAACAACAGGGCAGAGAGGCCGAGGCCTTCCTAAGAACATCAGAAGAGCCCTGCTGGATCAGA